TTTTTTTTTTTTGCCATGAGAGTGTCAGACAGTTCCGGGCTTTGACCAGGTAGGAACCAGAAAGAAATGCAAATCCATATCAAACTCACAAAATCAAAGCCTATACCTCATTTTGGAGTCACTTTGCTGTTTAAACTTCACCTGTGGCTGTGGCCAGAGTCTTTGAAGATAAAGCGGTCAAGACACAACGAAAACGAGCCAGTGCAAAGGTCCTGAGGTGGGAATGAGCTTGGCATGTTTGAAAAACAGAAAAGTAGCCAGAGTGACTGAAGCTGAGTGAGCACAGAAGATCGTGAAGAGGCTGAGCTGGGTGGTGGTGAGCAGGGTCAGACCATGCAGGGCTCCTAGCCATGGTAAAGAGTGTGCGCTTCACCTTGAGAGGAACGGAAAGCTCTAGGAGGCTTTAAGTAGAGGAGTGAAGGAATCAGATTTATATTCCTCAAAGTTCACCTTGGCTCTGATGTGTATAATGGGCTGTTGGGGACATCTGGAAAATGCACCAGGAGACAAGGGCATGCCCATTGTCCATGACATCACAATGAGGGGTCAAGCTATTTGTCGGAATACTTTGTACCTGGTGGAAGATTGGAAAGCTTTGTCACATCTGCCTCTTCCCTGTTGCTCACCTTTCTCTGATACTCTCCTTTCAGTAACGAGTTCTTATCTTGATGAGCTCCCTGGAATCACAAACTGTCAGAGCCTGAGCCCACCCTAAGGTATGGGAGTCTAGCCCTGGCCCTGTTGCCACCTTGGGACAGTAAACATCCTAATTCTGCAGTGGCCTTGACCCACCACCCTGCCCACTGAAGTGGGAGCTGAGAATACTCACCAGATCCCACTGAAGCCAGCCGAATATCAGCCGTGATAGAAGTATGAGGATAAATTAGAACGTGGCCTCAGATCTTTGTGGATTTGCACTTTAGTGGGAGATACAGAATGCACTTCTGTGATCACTTCCATAAGGGAGTGACAGACAGTGCAGAGAGAGAGGCCACATCACAACCTTGTAACTCAAAGTATGGTCCACAAACCAGCAGCATCAGCAGCAACAGGGCACTTGTTATAAATGCAGAATCTCAGGCCCCAGCCAGACCCACTGAATCGGAATCTGTGTTTTAACATATCCCCAGGTGATTGGTGTGCACATTAAAGTCTGAGAAGCACTGGTCTAAGAGCCATTCTAAAATTACAAAATCTGCATCTATATTGAATTTCCAGTCACATAGATAAGGAGATGGGCCCACCCCCTGTGGCACTGGTTTCCTTTCAGGGTATGGCCCCTGGTGGCAGGCACTGATGTGGTTCAGTTAATCAAGCAATGGCTTTGGAGTTGCAGAAACCCAAGTTTGAATCTCAGATTTTCATTTCCTGGCTCTGAGACTGTGGATAACTCATGAAAACTCTCTGAAGCTCAATTTCCTCTTGCACAAAGTGGGGTCAATAGTCCCAACCCTGCTAGGCTGTTAACGAGTCTAGCAGAGAATAGGAGCATAGTAAATCTTACTCACCCCATATCCAAAGTCCAGTGCTGAATATTCCAGCCTATTAGCACAATCGTAACACTTCCCAGGTCGAGGGACGCTGAGCTGTGCTAGGAGCACTTCTTCTCTGGGAGGATTGAGCTACATGGCTACCTTGTTTTAACCTCCTAAAACTAGTTGCTGTTTAGTCAATTCTGACTCATAGCAACTTCATGTGTGTCAGAGGAGAACTGTGCCCCATAGGGTTTTCAATGGCTGATGTTTCACAAGTAGATCACCAGGACTTTCTTCCCATGTGCCTCTGGGTGGACTTGAACCACTAACCTTTTGGTTAGCAGCCAAGCGCATTAACCATGTGCACTACTCAAGGACTCCTTCTAATACCCATGTTGTTGTTAGGTGCTGTCAAGTTGATTTCAACTCATAGGGACCGAATGTGACAGGGCAGAGCTGCCCCATAGTTTCCTAGGCTATAATCCTTATGGAAGCAAATTACCAGGTCTTTCCTCCCATAGAACTGCTGGGTGGATTCGAACCACCGACCTTTTATTAGCAGCTGAGCACTTAACCATTGTACCACCATCCTTGTTAATACCCTGGCAGCCTCTAATTGCATCTGAAAGAGTACCCGGTGGTTCACCATGACCTACAAGGCTCCATGACGTGGCCGCTGCTTCCCTCTCCAAACTCATCTCCTGCCACACTTCTCAGTGATGCCTTATGGCCTCTTCCCTTTCCAACATCCCAAGACTTTACTGTTGCCCTCAGGTCTTTCCCTGTGCCTGGAATATTATTGATGCCTTTTGAGAAGCGAACAAAGCTATGCTGCTCGAGAGGATGGTGGGGGTCAGGAGAGGATATCAGCTGGTCCAGAAAGCTCTGCTCAGTGAAAACATTGTGATTGTTGTATGAATCATGTGATCATTGAATGAACTGAGCAATATCCCTACTCTTGTGGCGTCCATAGAGCTATTTCGACCAGGGGTATGGAAACCATAGCATTAGCACAGCCTCTTCCAGAGCCCTGCTCTTCGTTTGAAGGAAATATCAGTGTTCCCCAATCAGGGCATGCACTCGAAGAAGAGTGCTATGGCCTCCCCCATCCTGACTTCCTAACAACTACAACTCATCAAAAATATGGACCATCACAACTGCAGACAGGCACTTATAGCCTGAATGAGGTCACCAGGGAAACGATCCAACCAAACAGTTGTCTGAAAACTCTTCATTAAAATCATTTAGAGACAAGCTGTTCAGAGTTCATGAAAAACAGTAATCAATACGTGTTTCAATTCAATTAATTGTTCTTGTCTCTGTCCAAAAATAAAAATCACACAGCGTGAGGGAACTGGGCCAGAAGATGCTACACTAGCAACTGGGTTAACTAAGTGTGAAAATATTTAAAATTCAGACATGCAAAGCTTCCCAGTAAGCCTTTCTGTTTAGCAGTCAAAATCACCAAGTTTCTAATTACAGTGTATAAATCTTGGAAGCTTAAAGGGAATGAGAAGACCCTAATGAGGTAGGAATGGGTGTCTTGATTACGCTAGAGCTGACTGACATTTATCTCCCAAGCTATTCTAGGTGCCGGGCATTCAGAGTTAAATAGAATACAGACTTTGCCTAAATAAAACAAGGTGGCATTCCTGTGTGGAAGCCTTCAAAAGGGACAGTAGGTCAAAGAGTTGTCAATATTTTTCCAGCATACAGATGGTTGGATTCATTCTGAACCAGAAGCATGGGCCCCAGGAATCAACATCCCATCAGAGTGCATCGCGAGAAATCTGGGTGTGTGTTCTGGGCAGAGGGGAGTTCTGAACAGGGCTGGAGCAGAGACAAACATTGATGGAAGGAGGGGGCGGGCTACGTGGACAGCTCGTGAGCAAGCTGTCAAAGAGAGAGGTCCATTGGAGATCCCTGGCTCCCTCAGTTGGATGGATGAGCACACCCTCCTCCTGTCTTCTAGCTTGGCCACACGGGCCACTCCAGGCTCACTGACCCTAGACACATCCATGGCTCTGGTCAACAGAGGCACAGCAGGGAGAATGGGATGTGGTCCAGATGGGCAGGAGGCACTATATGCAGGAAAGAGATCAGCTGGCTTGTAACTAATACAGCTCAGAGCAAGAATTTGCATAACTCAAACTGAAACTACTTTAATTAGGATACACAGTTTGCATAATGCAGGTTGCTATTGGGTATAACTCAAGCCAGCCTCCTATCTAGAAAAAAGCTCTGATTTCTTTTGTTCAAAGGAGCCCTGGTGGCACAGTGGTCAAGCATTTGGCTGCTAACCAAAAGGTAGGCAGTTCGAACCCACCAGCCGCTCTGTGGGAGACAGATGTGACAGTCTGCTTCTGTAAACATTACAGCCTTGGAAACCGCATGGGGAAGTTCTACTCTGTCCTATAGAGTCACTACGAGTCAGAATTGACTTGATGGCAACGGGTTTGGTTTTTTTTTTCCTTTTGTTTAAGTCAGAAATGTGGAAGTCATCCACTCCACCTGCACCCAGCTGCCACACATCCTGTCCACCACAAGTTCACTCACTTCTGCCAAAAAAAAAAAAAGTCACTGTCAATTCCAACTCATGGTGACCCATGTGTTTCAGAGTAGAACTGTGCTCCATAGGGTTTTCAATGGCTGATTTTTTTGGAAGTAGATCACCAGGTTTTCTTCCAAAGCACTTCTGGGTGGACTCGAACTTCCAATCTCTCAGTTAGCAGCCAAGGGTGTTAACCATTTGCACCACCAAGGGACTTCAAATAGACTCGTTTGTCCTCATAGCCCCATCTCCAGCACAACACCCTGTTTAAAGCACCCATCTGATGCCTGGACCACCTCAGTACCTCCGAATTGATCACCCTGCCCATCCCCACATTCCCTTTCCACTTCACCACACAGCAGCCAGAGAGAACATCTTACAAGATAAATCCAATCACATTACTTCTCTCTTTTGGCTTCATCTTAATTTTAGGAGACCAACTATCTGGCCCCAGCCTGCCTCTCTACCCTCATCTCCTGCCTCTCTTCCCATTACTTACTGTGTTCCAGTCCCCATGGCCTTCTAGCATTTTCTCAAGCTCAGCTAGTTCTTTGCAGCCCATATGACTTTGTACATGGCGATCTTTCTGCCTATAACACTCTTCACTTTATACGTGTCATGAAGGCTCCTCCTTATTCCTCGCCTCCAAGTAAAGGGCTTTCTCCCATCTACTATCCATTTTATCCAAAACAGTCTCCCCTCTATTTTCTCTTTCAGCAACTTGCATATTTCTTTTATACCATTTTCACAGTCTGCTCTTATTTTATTTGTATATGCTAGTACCTTCCAGGCCTTCACTGGACTTTTATTAGCCTCATGAGGGCAGAGACCATATTTATTCTTGCTTTTCAGTGTATCCCAAGGGCCTAAAATAGTGGCTTGCACATAGTAGGTGCTCAGTAAATATTCCTTGAATTAATGTGTGGATTTGTGCTTTATCTTAACAAGAGGTGGTGATGAAATTTTTCTCTAACTTATTTTGTGGCTCTCAAGCCCAGCTGAAGATTGAAATTACCTGGAGAGCCTTAAAAATTAGATGGATGGATATGTGAATGGATGCATGAAAGGATGCATGCATGGATGGACAGATGCATGCATACATGGATAGGGACATACATGGATGGATGGACAGATGCATGCATACATGGATAGGGACATATATGCATGGATGAATGCCTGGATAGATTCAAGAATACATGGACCTCACTGCAGTACAAATAAATCAGGATTTCTGGAGGATAGGCTCTATCCATGTGTTTTGTTTTATTTTAAAGTTCTTCAGGGAATTCTAATGTACAGCCAGGGTTGAGAAGCAGCACTGCACTATATAAATCCAATCAGTCCCCTCTGATATGTTGTCCTAGCTAAGTACCTATTAACACCCTCTTGCTGCTGGCCCTACCCTGTCTTCATTCTCACTCTGCCAGAATCCACCTCTGTCTTGGTCATCTAGTGCTGCTGTAACAGAAATACCACAAGTGGATGGCTTTAACAAAGAGAAATTTATTCACTCACAGTGTAGTAGGCTACAAGTCCAAATTCAGGGCATCAGCTCCAGGGGAAGGTTTTCTCTGTCAAGTCTGGAGGAAGGTCCTTGTCATCAATCTTCCCCTGGACTAGGAGCTTCTCCACGCAGGAACCCCAGGTCCAAAGGCTGTGCTCTGCTCCTGGTGCTACTTTCTTGGTGGTATGAGGTTCCCATGTCTCTCCGCTTACTTTTCTCTTTTAAATCTCAAAAGAGGCTGGCTTAAGACACTATCTAATCTTGTAGATTCATCAGTATAACTGCCACTAATCCAT